ACGATGCTGCTGTGTATTTGATTTGTCTTCAAAGCAGTTTTCAACTGCGTGACTTTTTCGCTGTAATTGGCGGAAACTCAGCATGTGATTTGATTTGACGCCGTCTTTTTTCATCATTCCCATTTGAGATGATAGAACTACACAGACAATGTTGCGTAATCTCAGAGTTCATACTGCTGGGCTTTTCGATGAGGATTAATGGTTTTTCTGACTCCCTGCGGTATTTTCATCAAACATTGATTGACCTACAGTCATGCATACCGGTTCCGTCTAGAATCATCTTTTTTTGATGCATTTATCTTTATGTTTACTCTTCATCTCGTTCCACCTGTAATCGTTCTCCGGTTACTTCTCGGCTGTAGTTATGCACGGTTCTCAGTTTGTCAATTGGCGCATGTGTTCGCTTGTCCGTTGACCAGATGCCTTAGTAAGAGTGAATCGCTGAACCAAGTTTTTGACGAGAATCATAAGACGTGCTTGTATCGAGTAGCATCGTGATTTTTTCTTTTGACAATGTAGTCTAACGCAAATCGTATTACAAACACAATCCTGACTATGGATGACAATGACTTGTATTTGCTCTTGTTTTATATTTGTATTGCTCCTCCGGACGCGCCAGGACCTTTGGCTGTTTGTGGAGAAAATGTTCACCTGAAGAATTGGAATTTCACGTTGAACACTAGCATTCCAACATGGACAGAAGTTTTGTCCGAATATAATTCGGTTTGGTCCGACGGTAACTATATGACAGTTTATCGGTTACCTCAAAGCCAATACACGAAGCTTGCCAACAGTACAATCGGTAATACCAACGAAACTGACAGTGAGACCAAGGTCAGTTCATCCGACCAACGAATGTTTCTGGCGCGAGTCAATGTGAGTCTGGCACTGTGGAGCCCGATAGATTGTAAGCCTGCCTTGTCGACGGCTATTATCATCCCTTACCGGAATCGTGAGGAACACCTGCGAGCACTGCTTCGCGTACTGCCCACGTTTATGATTC